CCACCAGCCACTCCTCGGAAGGAAGATGGGGCAATCTACTTCCGCAGTGATACCGCCTCGGAAACCCAAGGAGGGGTCGCTATGCGTCAGGTCCGACTCGACAGCACATAACAACAACAGCTCTGCTTTCCATTTCCCGCTAACGCCACAGTCCAAGGGAGAAACCCATCCTTCTCATCGTCATCACAGTTAATTTTAAAAAACAAAACAAACAGAAAAGCTACAGTATAAAGGGGGAGCTGACAAGCAGGTGGGCTCATACTGGAGATGGTTTTATTTTCTGTCCTTAGCTACAAAGAGTTTGTGAGTTGGAGCTCAGGGCTCAGGAGGATTGAGAAATCAACATGTCTTTGGTTTTGGGATTGTTACCGCTGTTGGCATCTATGTCTTGCCTGCTGAGGAGGGGTTGTCTGTCCTGTTCTCCACTTCTTTTCTTTTCCCTCTTTCTCCTTTTACTGCTCCTGGGTGGATGCCATTTGGAAAAGAGATGAGGCAAGGATGTTTACACACACGCACATGTGCATGCACGCACATGCCCCCAAACCCGAAAGCCCCAGGGGACCTCAGTGACTGTGGTTCTCAGCCCCCCAGCTGCTACACAAGCTGTGAGGACAGCCGTTTCTGCTGGGTGATCATGGTCCGCCTCGCACAGCACCTTCATCCACACACTTGGCAAACTCTGCCCACAGAGAGCAGGGAGGGAGGGGTGTTTTACTCTGGGAAATTCTTGGCCCCTTAAGAGACCCCCAATATGGGGCAGCCTCTAAGTGCAGTGGTCTCATTTGTCTGTGCAATTTAAATGAAGAATATACATATTCTGGATAATTGTGGGCTTTTTTTTTTTTTTTTTTAATTAGTCTCCAGCTAAAGCTTAAAACAAACAAAAAAGCCTTAAAGGGCTTTAGCCTAATTTATTTTGAAATTTTAAAGTTGCAATGAAGGAAACACAGCAGTTCCCACAGGAGGCCTCTGGAATCTAAAAAAAAAAAAAAAAAACCCAACTCACAGCCATCAAGTTGACTCCAATTCATAGCAACCCCCATTGGGTTTCTGAGACTATAAATCTTTACAGAAGTAGATTGCCCCATCTGCCTTCCATAGAGTGGCTGGTGGGTTTGAACTGCTGACCTTCTAGTTAGCAGCCAAATGCCTTCTCCACTATGCCACCAGAGCACCTTTCTGGAATCTAAGAGTAGAGGGCATGAGAGCCAGATGGAGGCTCATCAGGAGGGGGCAGTGGGTCTGAGTCCAGTGAAGGCTATTGGGTTCAGGGCTGGCTGTGGGCCCAGGACCACTGGGTCTGAAAGGGGGCTTGGTTTAAAGGCCCCCAACTGGGCCAACTAACTACTTGTTTTCCCATTAAGCAGTCCCTGGGTGGTACAAATGGTTAAGCATCCTGCTACTAATCAAAAGGCTGACACTTCGAATCCACCCAGAGTCACCTCAGAAAGGCCTGGTGACCTGCTTTTGAAAGGTCACACCTGCCAACGCTCTGGGGCACAGTTCTGCACCGCACACATGGGCTCACTGTGAGTCGGAATCGACTCCACAGCAACTGGTTTTTGTACCGTTGAATGTGGGGAGGAGAGCCCAGTGGGTTCGGTAGGGGGACTCCAGTCTTGGAGGAAAGTCATGGATGCACTTGATTTTCATCAAGTGTTAGTGAGGCTGGCCCTGGTTTCCAAGGCAACCAGCCTCATCTTTCCCCAAAAAAGACTGAATAAAGTGGGCCATCAAAGTGGTCACCAACAGCCTTAAGAGCCCAGGCATTTGGATGGGGCGGGATGGGTTTTCTCTTTTTACAATGGATCGTATCATCTGGGAGGCAAAACATAATCAGAACCGAGTATGATGAACATGGAAGGATCCTTCTGGGCTGTTCTCTTTGTAGGGTCTGAAGGGTGATGTGTGTGGCCATTGTGCTAGGCCAGGAAGTGCTTGGCCATGGACAGTAAGCAAGTGCCCTGAGCTAGAAGCTCTCATGGGCATTCATTCTTTCACTGGGGAAACATTAATGACCCCTTGTGAGTTCTGGTAGCAGGAGCCTTGGTTCCCATCCTGGGTCCAGCCCTAGCTCACAGGGTTGTAGTAAGGATCAGTGAGCTGGAGCTGACCCATAGAATTTTCTGGAATGAACCTTTGAGGTCAGTCATCTGCCCCACAACATGGTCTTAAAGTTTCTGAGTGGCCATATCTAGCAATGAGGCTGTCACTGCCTCACCAGGAAGCCCAGTGTGGATTGGAGAGACCAGGAGGTTGTCCAGGGTCTTCCCTGAATGGGACCAGAGTTTGGGACTGTCTTCAACCTTGGGGAAAAAAAAGGCAGCTGGATCTGACTCTCATGTTGGCTTCAAGCTGCCTCAGGCCTGCCCTGTGTTGACTTTTGCCTGCAGCAACATGGAATCCCTGTCCCAGTCACCCCCAAGAACCCGTGGAGCATGGACGAGAACCTCATGCACATCAGGTATGATGCTCTGCCCACCTGTCCATCCTTCTGTCCATAATGTGCTTGCTCAGCAGAAACCAACCTTGGTGAGCACTTGCCTGAGTGCTGTGTTGGCACCAGGATGTGGTTGTAGCCTGACACACGGGGTCCCTGCCCTTGTGGAACCTTGGGGAAGACAGATGTGGAACTACTACTCACATAATTCAGTCACTGCTGTCATTGCAGTTGCCCTGAGTGCCATGGGGGGTGATGTGGTGTGCTAGGAAGAAGATCATGGGGACGTGGTCTTGTCAAGGGGGTGTCAGGGAAGGCTTCTCTGGGAAAGTGGAACTTGAGCTAAGGCATCAAGGAAGAAGAGGGATTGGCCAGGTCACGGGAAAGAGCCTTCAAGGCAACAGCATGTGTGAAGGTCTCATGACCTTATTGGTGCGTGAGAGCAGACCTGCCACCCCAGGGATGAAGCCCTTGCCCTGTGCCCCAGAAGACTGAGGGAAATGCCTTGACCTCTTATTTGCAACCTGAAGCTGCCAACTAGGTTGGGCCCAGAATGTTCCAAATAGGATTGGCAGCCGTTGCGTTGGCAGAGGGAAGGCCAACACGATTAGAGGTGTAGGGGGCATCACTGTGTCCCTCCCCTACTGATTCTCTGTTTTTCTTCTTCCTCTTCCCCCAACAGCTATGAGGCTGGAATCCTGGAGAATCCCAAGGTAATCCTCCACATCCTTTGCACTGGCAGTCTTTGGTGGTAGCCCTGCCCTGTTCCAATGCTGTCTGATTCATTTGTTGCCTAATTTGAAATTTCACGGGGCGGGGGGCTGGGTGTGGGGCTGGGGCCAAGCCCTGCCTGTGGCCAAGCCCTGCCTGTGTTCCCCATCCCGCCCCACAGCACTGCCCCCCCTTCTCCTGCCCTCTCCACACTGCGTTTTAAGACCCCCTCCCTCACGTTCTGTTTCTAATTGCTGTTGGGATGAATAGGGAAAGGAAATATTTCAGGGCAGCATAGAGGGAGACAGTGTCATTGTGAGACAATAAAGAAGCAATTAGGCAGATGAGATACTTGTGGGAGGCACCCAGCCTGTGCCCACCAGCTCCCAGGCCCGCTGCCGCGATTATCATGGGGGGTGAGGGTAGTGGCACAGATTAGAGCCTCAGGACCCATTTGTCTGGGCCTCTGCCCTGCATCCTCAGCAGCCTGCCCTGAGCTCCTGTCTCTAGTCCCCAGCCTCCCAGGCCGGCCCAGCCAGGCCCTGTTTGAAGTTGAGGGTTCTTCTCCCCGGGGGGTTTCTCTCTGTGTCTCCCCCTACCCACCACGGGAGGTGTGGTGGGGGAAGGCAGGGTGAAATCTATCATGAGAAGAGCAAAAATCTCTCTGTCCCTGAGGGAAAATGTCTCAGTTCTCTGGCTCAGCCCCACACCCCTGACTGGTTTGGGCGCTGGGGGAGCTGTTATCTGATGTTAGGGAAGAAGTGTGCTGTGAGGGGTCTTGGCAGCTGGGCCTGGGCCACCAAGAAGACCAGCTGGAAGGGAGGATGCTGAGTGGTTTGAGTGAGAGCGGGGACAGCGTTTCCTTGGCTGTGTGGGGTGCCTCAGTGTGGGGTGATCAAACCGGGGCCCAGAGAAGTGACTCACCCAGTACGCCAGCTGCTCAGTGAGGAAGCAGGGTGGTGCCAGGTCACCCTGTCTAGGAAGCTGGTGTCTTGCCTCTGTGGTTCCCCCACTGCCTACAGCCCCAGAGAAACCAGCAGGCCCCCACCTTCCTTCCCACTCACCCGCTCTACCTTAAAGTGTCACTCAGGAGAGTCCCGCACCCTTACCCCCTGGGGCTGATGGGCCCCACGGGGCTGCTGCCTGCTGGCCACAAGTTTTTCCAGTTCATGCTCTGCTGACCCTGTGACACTCAGGCCAGCCACCCCTAATTATCCAGTCAGTCAGCACCCAGGGAGGTTGGGGAGGTTCATAGGCACAGATGACTTGGCGGCAGGGCATCCTGCTGGCCCCAAACATCCTGGGAAGCTGCACATCACCCCTCTCCCAGCAGCCGAGGCCCCTCTACTTGCTTGAGAAGAGATACCCAGAGAACAGACTATGTCAGGACTAGGGGAGCAAAGCTAAGGCCAGGGCAGCCATCATCCCTCAGGCAGTGCTAAAAGGCTATGGCTTCAAGTAGACTTTTGTGACCACGGCAGGTCCTTTCCTTTTTCAGGCCTCCTGTCTTCAAGAGTATTCTGTGGCTAAGTAAGTGCTAGAGAGTTTCTTTATTAAGGACTCTGCCACTCTAGACTTGAGACTAGGAAGGCAGGAGGGATAGTGTTTAATACTCAGGTCCCAGAGACAGGAAACCTGAGTCTGAATCTCAGCTGTTTCTTATTGCTGTGCAACCTTGGGAAAGCTACCAGGCCTCCCTGATCATCTGCTTCCCCATGCACAAAATGGGAAAACCAGAGCACTTCCCTCCTGGGCAACTAAGGATAAAATAAATGTGCATCTAAAGACTAGCTGTCCCTAGCACAGAGCAAAACCTCAACCATGGAGCCTGGAGTCCTACCATCCTCCTCCTTAGCCCAGTTAAAATTCTTTTGGAGGGAAGAGGCTAGGGTTCCCTCAAGGACTGCTCTCATCTCCCCAGGGAGAGGCTATGCTGAGTGTGGGTAGAGGGGCAACTCCTCTCTGCTGAGAAGCACCCCAGCTCCAGCCACTCTGGCCCTGGCCTCCCAGCCTGCCCTGCTTTGGGGCAGGGGTCTGCACCAGCCCCTAGCTGGTCTAGTTGGCCTAAGCATGGGGCTCCCTGGAGCTCGTGTCCAGAGGCCAAACCCCAGACCCACCCTTGCCCCTCTTGGAGTCCATGTTCTCTGATGGCAGCTCTAGCGTCCTAGGAACCAGGAGGCAGCATCCAGGGGCCCGGAGCGCCTCTTGCTCCGTGGGGGAGAAGCACCAGCCTGAGCAGCCCTGACCCCCTCGGGAGGAGCTCAGGGAGACAGCGTAAGGGAAACAAGGCCTCCTCCCCCTCTCCAAAAAAAAGCCCTGAGACCTGCCAAAGGGAGGGTTTGAAGGCAGATGGCTGGGCCATTTTCTGCCTCCATGAGGGCTGATTGAAGGGCAATGAGGCAGCTAATGCGAAGAAAGATAGAAATTTACTTGCTTTAACTTCATACGGCCCACAGTGAAAGAGTTCATTCAGTCGCCGGCCCCTCCATATCTGATGGATGAATAAACCATTTGCAGCATCGATCATGCCTCTACATCATGGTTTAGTTCATGGGCCATTTGCTTCCAATTTCTTCTTCTCGGGCCCTGTTTCATGCTTTCTTTCGTCCTCTCCCCTCACCCCCCAACTCTCTCTCTCTCTCTCTCTTTTTCTTCACTCTCTTCCCCCCCACACCCCCCTTCAACCAAAGATGACATTGGAAGTGAGCCCTCCCGCTGGGATGGATAAATAGATGGCATTGATACTCAGCAACAAACTATTTGTCATTTGAACTGGGCTTTTAGGAGGGAGAGTAAAAAGAGGCAGGCACTGAGCCACCTCAGAATGCAAAGCAAATGTCATTTTATTTCTATTTAGTTATTTTATTTAATCGGTTCTGTCAGGTGCCTGCCAGGGCATTGGAAGCCCCTTGCCAGCTGCTTCCGACTGCCACTGTAGAGTCTGGGGACTTGCGTCTTCCAAGTCTTCCCACCTCCTTCCAAGTGCAAACCTCATCCTTCTGCTTTTTTTTTGGAGTGGGCTCAATTAAGCAGTAATGACTCCCCCGAAGTCATTTTATGACTGAACTATAGTTTAGCTTAACGAATGAGAAAGATCTGCTTTGAGCTTTATGCTCTTTTAAGAACTGTCTGTATGGGGTCAAACTGTAAGAGCCACAAGGATTATAGGAACCTTAGGGGGCAGTGAGTTTATGATGATGAGGGAGGAACAACTCAGAAAAGGAGGGTGAGAATGGTTGCCCAACTTGAGGAATGTCATTGGTGTCCCTGAATTGTACACGGAGACACTGTTGATGTCTGTTTTGCTGGTATTTTCTCAACAACAAGAAAATAAATATGATTTTTTTAGGGAAAAAAAAAGAGTATGGCAGGAGAAAGTGACTAGCACAAAATTGGGAATGGGCGGGCAGGCACAGAGCAGGTGGAGATGGGAGGGGTGGAAGGTCTTCAGACTACCCCAGTGAGGGGTCCACTGGAGAACCTTCTGGTAGCACAGTGCCTAAGGCACTTGACTGCTAACCAGAGGCTGGCGGTTCAAACCCACCGGCCACTCCTCGGAAGGAAGATGGGGCAATCTACTTCCGTGGTGATACTGCCTCGGAAACCCAAGGAGGGGTCGCTATGAGTCGGATGCGACTCGACGGCATATAACAACAACAAAGAGACTAATGGGGAGTCCCAGGCTGGCAGGGAAGGACTATGGAGTCTTGCCAGCCACCCAGCAGTGGTCCCAAGCCTTGTTCACATGGGCTCTGACTGAAAATGGGTCCTCAGGCCTGTCTGTGCCCAGGTTGTTGGCAGAGCCCAGAGGGGCTTAGGGAGCCTGATGGTTAATGATGCAGACTCTCTGGCTGTACCCCTCACACTGCTTCTCAGCCCCCAGTTACTTAAAGCAGCTGAGGAACAATATGATATTTCGGAAAGCCCACCAGACTGGAAGTCTAGAGGCCCCAAGGCCAGCTTCCACAGTGTTGCTGATGTGAGGTGTGATTTGGACAAACTGCTTCTCAGGCTTTGGTTTCATATCTGCAAAATGAAGGCATCAAGCTGGGGCCCCTTAAGGACCCTTCTAGCTCTTTGGGTCTCTGTCTTTGAGGTTGGCTCAGGGCTGTTGTTCCCACCTCACAGGTGGAAACAGACGAAGGGATGCTAGCCACAAGTCACACAGCACATTGGGGATAGCAGAAGGGGGCTCCATAACAGGCCCCCATCAGCGCTCAGGGCAGAGACTGAGCTAAAGGATCAATGGTCCCAGTTTGCCTGGGACTAAGGGTTCCACAGGGCTTTCCTGGGCAATCTGGGATGGTTGGTCACCCTAGGCGCGAGCTGACAGGCAGAGCGACCACAGGTGAGCGATGGGAGGACTTTGCAATGGCCCTGCCCCTTCCAGGGAGGGGAGGCCTCAGAATCGGCCACCAGACTTTCTCTGCATCTTCTTGTGTGTTTTTCATGACAAATGAAAGATACGAAAAGGATCCATTCACTTGACTTGTGAGATAGTCAAGGGCAGTTGTTATTTTCCCTGTTTTACCAATGTGAAAACTGAGACTCAGAGAGAAAGCAACTTTCCTGGACTCCATGGCCTGGGGCCTTGACTCCTAGCTTGGGCGGCATTTTCCACTGCTCTGAAATTCAACACATGTTTGTGAAGGGCCTTGTATGTTCCCTGCCTTGTGCTAGGTGCTAGGGACTGAGTGGGGAACAAGTGGATGTGGTTCACGCCTGCACCGATTTCACAGTTGCAGCTGCAGTCACTTTCCCTCAGCCTCAATTGTGGCACCTGTAGATGGGGTAATAGCAGTATAGCCTTTCTTACCAAACAGGATAGCTCAGAGCTCAAAAGGACCGGCAGATGGACAGTGGCATGTGAATGTTTGCAAGGACTTGAATAGAAGACACGAGGGACTGCAGTGCCCAGGGTGGGCAGGTGGGTAAGGACAGCTAGGCCGTGGGTGCCCACAGGAGGCACTTGAGCCATCAGGCCTAGGGGGCCCTTCTCCCCACAGTGACAAGTGTCCAAGCCACAGTCTAGGGGAGCCTCCAGAGGTGGGAGGGAATTTTGAGAGTGCCAGGCAGCAAACGTGCCTCCGCCGCTGCTTCAAGATGAGGCCCGTTTTCCAACACGCCCAAGAAAAAAATACACATAAAGGTTGATGTGTTTTCAAATGGGTTTTTGCTTTGCTCTTCTCTTTTCTCTCTGTGAGTATTAACCTCAAGGACCCCGAGGACGGCTCTGCTCGCCAGAGCACCTGCTGGGGTCACGCGTAGTCATTAGCTTTGCGGTCAGTGCAGAATAAACCCCAATTCCCGGCACTTGCGAGAACGTGCGGGCCAGCTCCCAGGAAGCCCGTGGAAAGCCGCCTCGCTCCTCCAAAGTCACACTTTTTCCTGCCTGACTTGTTCCTTTCCTGCTATTCTACCTCCAGCTGTGGGGGCGTCAAAGAAAAAGATGAGATCAAGTTGAGGGGAAAAATTGTCTGATTTCTTGAGCCCTTTGTTTCCCAGGCCCCTGGCAAGCAGGGCTGGCTGGGGGCTGGGGACTAGAGGGCCTGTTGGACCTGGCAGCTGGTGGGGACGAGCCAGCAGCCCCCTGATCCTGGGATGGGGGCCGATGCCTGCTGGAGGCGGGGCAGGAACTGGCAGGGGACACTTGGCTTCAGCACCCCGTTCTCCAACCCCTCTTTGTCTTTTGTCAGAACCAAGCACCTCCAGGTCTCTACACAAAGACCCAGGACCCAGCCAAAGCCCCCAACAGCCCTGACATCCTTGAGATCCAGTTCAAGAAAGGTATGTTTCCACCCTTTGGGATTCAAAGACATTGATGATTGGGATCCTAGTTCCTTTCCCATTCCTGCCCGGGATCCTGTGCACCCCTCCTGCATTTCTGAAAGCTGGCGCTCAGACAGTGTCTAAGGGACCCCAGCCGGCCCCTGTCCTGGACTTTGTGGTCCTTGGAAACATCCAAACTCAGGAGGAAAGTGGAGGAGCTCTCAACTCTTCATCACATTGGTTCATGAGCACAAGGTCTGCAGTGGGTGTGTTCCAGACCCTGAGCAGCTACTTGCCAGCTGTGGGGCATTGGGGAAGTCACTCAGCCTTCTTGGACCCCAGTTTTTCTCCTGTGTGAACTGGGGATAAAAGAGTGCCCACTGCCTCGTGTTTGCACGCTTATTTGTAGAATGAGCTCAGCAGGGCCCTGCAAAGAGCCATGGCACCAAGGACAAGCTCAGCAAGTGGCGAGTCTTTAAAAGCCAGTCCCCATGACTCCTCTGATCCTACAATGACAGCCTAAACTAGTCCCAAGTTAGCTGCTCACTGCCTCACCCTCCAACCCCGGTTTCAAAGCTACATCCACTCCCACTCCCCTCGGCAAGGGTGGGCATCCCATTTTCCTCCTCATCTCCACTGCGTCCATAAGAAGCGGTTGTTGGCCTGAGTTCCAGCCCTGAGCCAGGCATGAGGGACACCCTGAGATAGCATCTCTTGCCCTGGAGGAGGGAAGGGGTGCCCGGTAACAACAAGAAGAGCAGGCTCAGGCTCAGGGTGAAGGCTTGGGAGTTGAGGAGGACCTTCCCAGGAGGCTGCAGAGGGAGATGAGGAAGGCTTCCTGGAGCAGGTGGTTCTGGATCACAGCCTCAGAGGCTGAGCAGGAGCTGAGAGGAGGCAAGAGAGCATCCCAAGTGCAGGCAAGGAGACAGGCCTCCCAACCTAAAAAGCAGCTTCTCAAGCCGCAGCAGGGGCAGAGAGAGAGAGGGCTCCCAGAGAGGCCAGGGGTTCAGAACACTGTCTCCCTCACGCTGGTGAGACCTCAGCCAGCGATGTCCCTCCACTGGGCCTACTCATCTATAAAATGAGCTCATAAGTGCCCAGCTTGTGTTCTGCAGTGTCGTTGTTAGCCAAGTCGGCCCCAACTCATGGGGGCCCCGTGCGCAATGGAATGACACACTGCCTGGTGCTGTGACATCTCCACAACCAGCTGTGGATCAGACCCTGTGATCCATAGCGTTTCCACAGGCTGATTTTCCGAAGCCTTTCCTCCTAGTCTGTCTTAGTCTGGAAGCTCTGCAGAACCCTGTTCAGCATCTTAGTGACACTGGGGATGGGGAAAGAGAGGCCTTTGCCAAGAGCCTGGCCAAGCTGGTGGGCATCTTCACCTCTCCCCTCCATCTGCTCAAATCCTGGGATTTCTCACCACTCAGGGCCAAAGGGACCTTGGTCTGAGACCCCTAAAGACAGCTGTAGCTCTAAGTCCATCCGATGCCCATGCTGTCTGACCTCATTAGCAGGTGTGGGAGACCCCCTGGGCCTCACCTCTGAGAAGATGGATTGAGACAGGCCTAGGTGACAAGACCGGCTCCCTTTCCCAGCAGGTGCCCCCGGGCCCCGGGAGAGCTGTGGGGATGGAAGCCAAGCAGGAGGCAGTGGAGGGTCTCGGGACACAGGCCTCTGGCAGCCCTTCCTCCAGCAGTAGGCAGCCCTTGGGCTGAGCCAGAGAGGAAACGTGATCCATTTTAATGATTTGGGTACCGTCTGGAAAAAAACATAGACGGGAGGCGCCCTCCCCTGACTACCTCCCATTCATCCTCTAGTTAATTTATTTGAAGTTTTAATCTAATTATTAACTATTTTAAAGGCTAAGAGGCTTTCTCCGGCAGCAGCACCAACAATGTCCCTCCCCTCCCGGGCAGGCCCCATCCAAGGCCCCGGCGAAGGCCTATAATAGGGACAGGGAGGGAGAGAAAAGGAAAGGGGAGAGGCAGAGGGGTGGTGAGAGGGGCTTAAGGTTCATTATTGGACAGACTTACATTTAATAGCAATTTACAACCAAGTTATAAAACCCCTGGAAATGGGGGTTAAGAATGGCGAGGCTGACAGCGCCTTGAGGGAAGCCCCTCCAAGCGGCGCCTGGCTAATAAAGACTCGAAAGGCGCTATTGAGCCGTGATTGGCACCCGATCGCTCGCTACATGGTAATGAGTCGGGCAGATGGGTGGGGGATTAGCCGCCAACTTTGAACAGCTTTTCTTTGTCACTGTTACAGCTCTCTTGTTAGCCCCCTAATACATTTATTGCTCATTTCACACCGCTAGAGAAAGTGCCCCTTGCTATTCAAAGTCAACCCCGAACCCACCCACCACCCCCCTCGACACAGCCCTTCCCTCCTCCAGCAGTGGCCGCCTCCCTCCTGCCACCCCAGACCCGACGTCTCAGGATTCATGGACGCCTCCAACACCTCGCCTGCTGGGGCGGGCACCATTTCACCCCATCAATCAGTTGGAGATGAGCGGGTCTGGGGTGCAGGGTCGGGGGCGCAGGGTCTGCCTGACAGACGTGGTAGGGGGGCTGTGTGAGTGTGTATGTGCGTATGTGTGCGTGTGCGCGCACGCCCAGCCGCACCTCGGCCAGGCAGCTCCTGAAGCTGGTGGGACAGAAGGTGCTCCCGGGGTAAGACAATGGTGGAGCGTGAAATTCAATTAGTTCAGGGCCTGGTTCCAATTTCACAGCCCCTAAATGCAAAAGGGGCAAAGAGAATGGGAAGGGTGGGGGGAGCGTTTTTATTGCATTTTCCCTTTCATTCTGGGGGGCTTTCTCGCCCCTTCTCTCCCCCCAGCAGGCCTCAACCTGCACAGGGCTTTTCAAGGAGTCATTTGGAGTCCATATCTGTCACATCCATTTAAAGCGTTTCGGGTGGAGAGGAGAGGGCGGGGTAGCAGGCGCAGGGCTTCCCTGTCAAGCTTCAGCCCAGAGACCCACTGCCCTCCCCTCCCGCCGCAGGAGTCCCCGTGCAGGTGACCAACGTCAAGGATGGCACCACCCACCGCACGTCCTTGGAGCTCTTCATGTACCTCAATGAAGTTGCGTGAGTGTCCACAGCCCCACAGCCTCCTGGGAAACTGCAGAAATGGTCACCACCTGAGGCTGAGAGGCCGCGGAGGACGGGGGAATCCTCTCGCTGCCTATGTCCCTAAGGCAGTGTTGGCCATAGCCCCGGAGGGTCTCCTAGACCAAGACGACTAGTTTGATGCGAGAGTCCTAGGTGGCCCTTACTTAAATCCCTTAGCCTTGGAAGGCATCAATCCCAGGAAGTCCCTTAGGGACGATGAGGGTGGGGCTTCCAGGCCCACACCTGGATCTGAGAGAACAAGCAAAGGATATAAGGGAAGATGCACGGAGGTTGGGGCTGGCACCAGACAGACATAATGGAATTATGTAATCACCAGAGAGAAGTAATGGAAGGAGCTAATTGAACTCACTGTGCAACCCAGACAATTAGTCTCTGGACCTCGGTTTCCATACCTACACATTGGGCAGTTGTACCAGGTGCCTGATTTTGATGCACTCTGAGTCTTGGGTCCTGAGATGGAGCCTGCCCCCCGCGTGTGGCTCTGGGAACACAGCCGGGCTCCTTCTTGGCGCTGCACAGTGAGGCAGCCCTACAGCCTGGGTGGATGGTGCCCGACGCCAAGCCTGTGGTAGCACCTGATCCAAGTCACCGTTCTCTCTCTCCCACAGGGGCAGGCATGGCGTGGGCCGCATCGATATCGTGGAGAACCGCTTCATCGGAATGAAGTCTCGAGGTGAGTCTGCTCACCTACCCTGGGGGACATGCCAATCTCAGCGACCCTAGAGGCCTCCGAGACCCCGTCCCATTCAGAAGTTGCTCCTCCCATGCTACATGAGTGACCCGCCAGTCTTCCGTTTCCCTCCTGTAAAGTAAGGATAACAAACCTTTTGCCAATGACTTCTCAAGGGCTGAGCCTAGAGCTTGCTGGGAGGATCCCAGGAATATCCCAGAGGGGCTCTGAGGAAAGGGGAGGCAGCAGGCCAGGCCTAGAGGTCAGGCTCTCTTGTGTCCTAGGCAGGCCAGCAGGTTTGGAGGCGGACCGTGTAGGGCTGATTTCGTGGTCATTAATGCTGCAATTGAGGAGGCCGGCCCAGCAAGGCAGGAGTCCTGCCAGTGATGGGTGCTGTGAGCTGTATGGGCACCAAGAGGCAGCCAGGACCTGGAAGCCTGTTCCAGGGATAAGAAAGGTTCAGGGCTCTGCCCAGCCTCTGCCACAGTATGGACTGGTACCACCTTGGCTGGTCTGCTAGGCCACCTCACCCTTTATCCACCTCTGGCTGGGTCTAGCGGGAAGAAGGGGAAGTTGGTCCCCCGCACAGCTGCCTCTGTCTTCTCTTAGTGACCAGAGCCCTGTGATGCCCTTTATCAGTCATTTTTGTGTCTGAGCCCACAGTTACTCACTGTGTTGTCTTGGCTACATCACCCTCCTCATGAGAGAAGAGATGAGGACTCAGTTTCCCCATCTATACAAGTCAATGTCAGGTTTCTGTGGCTCTGCCAGTTTGTGATAAAACAACTCTGCAACCTTCGAGGGCTCTGAGAGAGAGGACATAAGGTTTTAGCAATTAGATGTCCCCTGAATTGGACATCCGAACTTTTTAATATTGGTAGTAGGGTTGAGGTATCCCTGTTTTGGCAAGTGTTCAAATTGCTTTGCTTAGGGTCAATTTAAAAGATAACCAAATAAACCCAGGCCAAAGTATGGTTATGGCTCTTTGTCCTCCAGGGTGTTTTTACTAAGATTCTAAAATCCAACAGAACTAATAATCCCCAGATTTCAGCTGCTGTGAAAGGGCTGTAGTCAGGAGGCAGGATGCTTGAGGTTCTCATCCCAGGCTTGCCCTGCCTTGCTGAATGACCATGGACTTGTCACCTCTGGGCCCTGGTTTTCTCAGTGTAATGTGGTGTAGAGGTGGAGTGGGGGAGTTGGATGCTCTGACTCTGACCTGTTCAGGGTTTATCTTAAAAAGTGTGTGGTGGAGGGAAGGGAGGTGTTTTGCCTCTTCCTGTGGTTTTCTCCCTCGGTGCTAATTGAAACTCTCTTGGGAAGGCCTTGTCTAGAACAGTTTTACTAATTAGCTGCTCGCTTTTATCCTTGTCTACCTTTGTCTCTTCCCCACATTAACATCTGATTAAGTGTCCCTTTGTCTAAACCTGCCCTTGGGAGCCAGCACAATATAAGTCCTTCATGGCAGAGCTCAGAGGGACCTTGGGGAGCCAAGAGGCTAGCACCCTCATTTTACAGATGAGGAAAGCAATGCCCCTGGAGGGGAGAAGACTCGCTCAAAGTCACAGACAGGCACATCAGTGACAGGACCAGGACTGACACCCAGACCTGGAGAGACAAGGAGTGAGCGGCTAAGAGCTTGGTCTCTGGAATGGGAGAGACCTAAATTCAAACCATGTATTATAGCAGGAACTGGTACAATGGACAGGAGCCCCTGGTGGCACTATGGTTAAAGCACTTGGCTGCTAACCAAAAAATCTGTGGTTCAAACCCAACAGATGCTCCGTAGGAGAAAAATGTAGTACTCTGCTTCTGTAAGATGATGGCCTTGGAAACCCTATAAGGCAGTTCTATTCTGCCCTCTAGGGTTGCTATGAGTCAGGACAGACTTGACAGCAATGACTTTTTTTTTTTTTTTTTTTTTTTTCCGTGTATAATGGAGATACTTAAGCAGTGGTCAGCCCACAGATGGATGCCAAGAAAAGGCAAAGGCAGCTGTGCCCTGTGGAGGCTGTCAGTGAAACTCAGAGGTGCCTAGTATGGTGCTTACTGTTACTCCAATCCCCTGCCCATGGCAGGCATCACTAATCGATTGTGGCAGTATCCTCTTGAATGTAGATGTGATCTTAGAGCTGCAGGCCACTGTCTATAGATCAAGGTTGACATGTGAGGTGTTAATTCTTTGCCTTCCCTTATTGGAAAGGTAAGGGCTGGTTGTTCTGTGAAACGTGAAATGAAGGAGGTAGTGGGGAAGACCTGGACTGGGCCATCTGTTCTGGGAAGGCCTCCTACAGTAGGTGAAAGTGGAACAGGCTCCAGGGAGTAGGATGTGAAGTGGAGAAGGTGGGACAGGAGCATTCCAGGGAAACTGGCCAGGAAGCATAGGAGGCACCTGGGGTGGCCTGTTGGGTGATGAGTGGGGTCTGATAGGGCAAAGTCCCTAGAGATTTGGGAGAGGCACACTAAGGAGCTGGTGTAGAAGGTCAAGGCTTTGGTGTTAGACCTGAGTCCTATTCTTGACTCTGTCACCATTGGGAAGGCATTTAGCCTCCCTGAGCCTCAGCTTCTCCATCTGTGAAATGGGTTGTTGTGGGGATCAAATGTAGAGAGCTCTTGACCCATATAGCAGGCACCATGCCTGAATGATGGACTTACTGCCTTTTTCCCCAGAATGGGGGGCATTATCACCTTAGGAGATCAAAGCCATGAGAATAGCAGTCTCTTCTGACCCGGTGGCTCCTTAACACCCACCAAGGAAAAGGTTCCTGGAACACAGTGTTCATTTTGCCCAGATATTGTGTGTGTCTCTGGAGGAGATGTCCCTAAAAGCATAGAATTTAGTCTGAGAGTTGTCCAGTCTTTTAAGAAAGAAATCAGGATTCTGACTCCACAGATTTGCTGTGTAACTTTCGGCTAGTTGCTTCCCCTCTCTGTAACTCCATTTGTCTATCAAAGGAGAGGCCAGAGTTAGGTGATCTCTCCATCTCCCTCTGGAAGTTCTGACTTGCCCATCCTCTTGCTTGGGATAAGGGGGTGGGAGAAGAAAGTTGCTTTTTAATTTTAGGGTAGTGTCTTCTTTTTTTATGTCCACACCCCCAAGTAATTAGTTGGTGAGAGAGAAAGAGTGAGGCAATAAATTAGGGTTCCTATAGAAGCGTGGTGGATCTCTCCCATGATGAGGTTTTTATTAAGTGTATAGTAATAGGAGAAGCTGTTAATCATCAATTATATTGAGGGCAGAGCCAGGAAGATGCTATTGTCTGTATCTTGGTGTACAAGGGAAAAATGTCATTTGTATTGATTTTACAAAGCTTGTAATTGAAATTCGTTAAAGACTTGGGTTTTTTTTTTTTCCTTTTCTGGGGGGGGGGTATGGGTAGGGAGCCAGGTAGTGTTAGTGCGCTACGTCTGGGTTGGCCTGGTCAGTGGTACTTGGGGCCCAGGGGTCAGAGGGGCAAGGGGCTGGGGAAGCTGCAGATGGAGTAGCTTTTGCAGTATTGTGGCTGTTCCATCGTCATTATCATATTATCTTTTTAACTCTGGAGGGGGGCTAATTAAGTGAAGTAAATGAAATCAGTGGGGAGGAAAAGGGGGGGCAAGGCAGGCAGCGGGGAGCAGGGGAAGAGCCAGCGCGTGTCCTTCCGCTCACCTTCTCCCCGCTTCTCTCTGGCCCAGACTTCTCACTCCTCGCCTCCCAGCCCTGTCCCGCCCGTGTCCCCTCTGCCTGCCGCTGCCAGGGTCCTCTCGGGTCCACCCCCTCTCGCTGTCTTCCCTTTCTTCCTGCCCCTTCTCTTTGTGCCCCCTCTGCTGACTCTCTGCCCCTCTCTCTTCCGTTTCCTCCTTCCTCCTCCCTTGCTGGCCACTTTCCCCTCCTCTCCCTACCCTTTTCTTTCCACTCCCCTCTCTTACCTCTACCCTCTCCCGTCTTCCTTCTTCCTTGGTCCTCCACTTTCTGGCCAAGAAACTAGAGCTACCCACCCAGTTACTCACCTGTCCACCCACCTGCCCAGCTCTCCTAGAGGTTTGGCTCAGATGGAAAATTCCCAGATGGGGGAGTAAAAGGAGGCCTTTGAAGCAAAGGAGTTTGCAGTCCCAGAGGCCTGGGGCAGACAGCCCCCGAGGTCCACCCCGATCCCCAGGATGGAGTCCTCAAGGCAACAGGATGTCTAGAGTCCCGCCCTGACTGCCTCCCTATCGCCAGGATAACTGCCTCCATCCTTGGTACCCGTGAGCAGAGGAGACCTTGAGCTCCAGCCAACCCCCCTTCCTCTGGCCTTTCCAAATCCCTTCCTCTGGATACTGCTTTCTCAAAGGACCAGAGCCTCTTGGAAAGATTAGGGAGGTGGTGAGGGGTGGAGGTGAGCTCTCATAGTGCTGGACCACGTGCCCTAACCTCCCCCTGCGTTGTCGGATCCCACTCAATTCTGCCAAATTGCTCAATCCAAGCTAACCTGGCACCCTCAGGAACAGAAGAGAAGAATTTAAGCTGCAGCAGCTGTTTTGGTCCCCACCTCTTCCTCCTTGGTCCAGTAGCCCACCCCCACCCGCACCCAGCCGCCCCCCAGCTCCTTGCCCCTTTCCCCACCTCCCCCCCTTCCTGGCAGTAATTATGGTGTGATTGAAGCTGCTCCACTGAGAACTGCTGACACCTCTGTCTTTTTCCTGTAAACACGGCGAGATGAAAATAGACACTTGGAGCCGCTGTGCGTGTCACTCTAAAGATGTCTGTTGTTTCTTCCATGGCGACACCGAGATTCAGCTGTCATTTCCTCCTTCTTTTTGCTCAGTGGTTTGTATGCCGACTGTCAAAAGCCCCAAATCCATACTCTTTTAGCATCAGGTTTCTGTCACTGATTTTTTTTTTAAGTCATTTTTTTCCAGAAGAAATACACAGAAATCATCTGTATCCCCTGCCCCTGTGGAGAAGAGCGAGGGGATGTTTAAAATGCTCAAATGTACACACACACACTCACCCACACAGGCACATACGAAAGCAGCAACCCCAAAACAAGCTTTTTGATCAGTCCCAATTAACTTTAACATCTTCTAAGAAAAGGAGTAGGAATATTAATTGGGCTGGTGTATTTTCTGGCTGCTGCCCATGGCCCTTCCTGAGGCTGCCTCAGAGGGTTGACCACCATGACAGCTGGTTGTTTGGGGGCAGGAAGAAGCACTCTCTGTTCTAGTTTCACTTTCCTGGGAAGAGCTGTGATAGGCCAATGGCAGGGAGACCTTGGATAAGTCATGTCCCTTCTTCCTTAGAAAGTACAGGTGTCCTGGCTTTACACACTGCCTGCCTTCTTCCTCTGGACTACTGGGAAATGTTGTAGTGCTGGCCCAAAGTGTTTTAGAGTCAAAAGCATCAGTATGTATGCTGTACTGGGAAGATGGTAGGTCCAGATCCTCACCTTCCAGGCAGATCTCAATGGAAGTTAGAATGTAAGAGTAGCACAGGTTGCCTAGGGCTCAGAGGGCATCGAGAAGAGCTAAGCTCACACAGCAAAGGCAAGCTGGCCACTATGTATAAAGGTGTGAGTTGCTGTGGGACTTGTAGCTGGAAGCCCCAACCCTGTGAATACAGCTTGGACCATGGCCCACAGCTGGCCCAGCCACAGGAGGCAGCCTGCTTCCCCCAGGAGTTGAAAACAAGGAGGGCTCCTGTCATTGGCTTGCTTGGCCTGGGGTGGCACTGTTACAATTATCTTTATATAAAGACTAGCTTTGCAAGTTTCTATGGAGTCCTGATCATGCATTAGTTAAGAGCTCAGGTGCTAACTCAAAGCTTGGCAGTTCAAACTTACCAGCCAGCCCATGGGAGAAAGATGGGCAGTGTGATTCTGTAAAGATTTACAACTTTGGAAACTCCACGGGGCAGCCACTCTTTCCTATAGGGCCACTCTGGTTAGAGTTGACTCAACAACAATGGGTTTGTTTGCAAGATTCTGGAGTTTTCCAAAATGTGGCAAAGCACATTAGAAGGGCTGGTTTTCAACCCAATAAATATTGAATCCTTAGTGTGTGCCAGGGAGCTCTGGTGGCATAGTGCCTAAGACGTCTGACTGCTAATCAGAAGGCTGGCGGTTCAAACCCACCAGCCATTCCTCGGAAGGAAGATTGGGCAATCTAATTCCCTAGAGATACTGCTTCAGAAACCCAAGGAGGGGTCACTATGAGGACCAATTAAATGGCAGTGTGCTTGTTTTTTTTTTAGTGCATGCCAGGATGAGAATGCCAATAGGCCTTTGTCAGTATCTGGGTTTTGGTGGCTCTTGGGAAATTACATTATTCTTGATGATAAAGTTTCTAAGATAATTGATAACTTGACTCATTAACATTGTTGTTACTTCTGCCATTTTGGAGATTCGTATTTCCAAACCTTCTGCACACATCCATCTTTGTAAACAGGCTACTGAACCACTCAGTCTTTCTCAATGGCATGGGACCATCGGGAGTGACCTGCTTTATGGAACCACACTGCCCTCTCACGGAGTGACCCTGACTCTGTGTTGAGTTCTTGTGTCTGCTTTTGAAGAGGAATGCTGAGGCTACGTGAAGCCCTGAGGAGCTCTCCAGGGAGTTAAGGGCTTGGGTATTGTGCATAACCTTGGGGACACTGGTGTTTTACTGTTGGGGAGGCCATTTTCCATTCAAAGATCACAAATCAATTCAGAACAGTAGAGATGACCTAAGAGCTTTGTTCCACCCAAATGATGTGGGGTGGTCTCTTTTGTGGCACAGTATTGTATTTCAGCCCTGGTATGGGGCTTTGCACACACATGTCCCGAGACCAGGATATCAGAGGTTTACAGATGAGAAAGCCAAGCCCCAGAGGTGTTCTCTTCCCTCGGGAACACCTTGAGGCCACAGTAAGAATCAAGACTTCCCTTCTACTACCTCAACATTCAGACTTACATGTTTCCTTTCGTGCTTTGGTGAGAATTCTGTCACTTGTGCCAAAAGCCCTGAGAGATAAGCTGGAACAGAAGTGGGAAAGCCAGAGGCTGGTCCTGGCTCCTCTCTAGTTTGCTAGAGAATCAAGTTGCTTCCCTCTCCAGGCCTCAGTCTTTCCATCTGTAAAATGGCATGTTGGTCCAGATAGGTGATTTAAGGACTGCTCAGTGGAGCCCCATAAGGAGGTCTGGTGGTACAGTGCTTAAGGCATTGGACTGCTAACCAGAAGGCTGGCAGTTCAAACCCACCAGCCACTCTGTGGAAGGAAGACTGGGCAATCTACTTCCATAAAGATTTACCGCTTCAGAAACCCAATGGGGGTTGGTATGAGTCAGAATCAACTCAGTGACGGTAGGTTTGGGGTTTTTTTAATTTTTTTTTTTTTTTGGTTCATTGGAGCCCAGGGTTTGCAAAGGGACCTCCACTCCCCCAATAAGGTCTTGACTATCTCTTCTCTGTGCTGGGTTTCTGCCTAACACTGTGATTGAATAATGATGGGTTTGCAGCTACAAATCAGGAAAACACTAACCAGGTTAATTCTGGAAGGCCTTTCCTGCAAGCTCTGACATTTCTGTGGTTCCCAAACTAAAATATCAGAGACTGAAGAGTTCTCCAAGGAGGAAACTTCCAGGTTCATTACGTGAAGGACTATCTGACAAACTTTGCTGGACTCCAGCATTGAAATGATCTCATTTTTGTTTTTCTAAAGCCACAAGTACGGTAGTTCCAGGATAACTGGAAGTGTGCCCCTTTAACACTGTGATGTTATGCAAAGAAATTTTAATATTCTGTTGCGATGTTATGTGAAGAAACTTTATGTGAAGATATATGATGTTATGTGAAGAAACTGTAACACTGTGATGTTACGGGAAGAAAGGAACCTTATGGGTAGACTTAGTGGAGTGCAGGCAGTTATTGCCCCTCCTCATTGGAACAGGGGACACAAAGAAGGTTTGCCTAAGGCTGGGGTAAGATGGAGTCTGGAGTCGTGTGAGTTTGACCGAGTCCACTTCTGGGTGCCTGGTTCCTCAAATGTAGTGTGATGCTGCTAATTGGATCTTCCTCACAGCCCCATAGTCAGTCCAGGACCAGGTACCTCCTTGTCACTTTGGCGACCACATGGTCCAAGAAGGTTGCTTTGCAAATGGAGGAACTAGGCCTGAGAGGAGGGGGACAGGACCTGAGCAAAAGCCCCCAGGCCTCTGGGTCTGGGCCCCCATGACAAATTGATTCACCAAGCAATGGACAGCACTGCCCAGAGACAGGGTCAAGGACTGGGAACCGAGATTCCATTCCCAGGTCTACCTGGGGCCAGTGCCTCCTCCTGGCAGGCTCAGTTTCCCCATCTGTATGGTGGAGTCCATATAGGTGATTGCTCAAGCCCTCTGCTGCCCCAGCCATCAGGATTTCTCTGGAGAGACACGGCTGCAGGGGAACCACCAGCGGAAGCCAGCATATGTGTGCACATGTGTACACACGTGTGCATGTGTGTACAGCCGTCCCCCTCCCCTGACTCCCTAGTGAAAGGAACGAAGGGATATTTGGGGGCCTGGGCTCCACCGTGGTTGGTTTAATTACAGGTTTTCAGCTGTGGGCCGGTGGGCATACATTGGGAAGGAGGGGGGAACTGTTCCGAAACCCTGTCATTTTCCAACGTCTGAGGGCTTCTTCAAAGGGGGGCATCTAGACATTTTCTCCACAAGCTGCAGAGTGGACTGTCGTGGCCCCAGCATGAACATAATGACAGATGCATTTTGCAGCAAGCTGGGAGTGAATGGGTCCGACCGGCTTGTCTCCTGTCAGACGAGTCATTATTATTATTATTATTATTATTTTTTTTTTGTCATTTGCTGACAGTTTGGGTTTCATGCGTTTCTCTCTTTTCTCTCTGTTTCCCCCTGCCTGGAAAAATGGCTAGGTATCTACGAGACCCCAGCGGGGACGATCCTTTACCACGCTCATTTAGACATTGAGGCCTTCACGATGGATCGGGAAGTGCGCAAAATCAAACAAGGCCTGGGCTTGAAATTTGCCGAGCTGGTGTACACCGGTGCGTAAGCCTCTGTAACTGCCCACCCCGGCCCCAACTCCCCCTTCTGGTTCTTCAGCTTTGCCCACCCCTCCCTAACAAAACGGCACCCTCCCCAATCCTGCCCCTCCCATTGCCATCCCCCTGGAGAACCCAAAAGATGCAGGTTAAATGGGGTCGAGAGCAGGGGAAGAGGGAGCCAGGAAGGGAGATATCAGGACACCCCCGTTCTTGGAGCATCCTCCCGAGGTGTCTGGCTGCCCCTCGCCCTGTATCTATATGACTCTGACGAGGCCTGGGAAACATCATGGTGTCATTACAATGGCAGCCAACTTTTATGAGCACATGCTGGGCTCCAGCCACTGTGTGGGCAACAAGCACCATCCCTTGGAGTCCTCATAACTTTCCTAGAAGATCCACAGCTCCTTATACAGATGAGGAAATTGAGACTTAGAAGGGAAAATAGCTCAAACATAGAAATGCAACCAGAAGCGGCCAAGCTGGGGTTGGAACCCAGGCCAAGCTGTCTCCAGACAGAACCTGTGGCTACTACATGAACTGCCTCAAGGGTAAAGGACTCCCTTGACCGAGAACTCAGATCCAGGCATGAGTCAGAGCTTAACCACAAAACATAGGGCAGACATAGGACCTGAGCCCCACCACATGCCCAGACCCGTGTGGGTGGGTCCCCATTTTCCAGGTGAGGTGACTTGATGTCACAAAGTTGGAATCGATGTCTCCTGACTCCAAATCCCTCGCTAGTATTGCGTAATAGGGGTCAGCAAACTACAGTCCATGGGCCAAGCTGTTGCTGGTTTCTGTTCAACCCGTGAACTAAGAACAGTTTTTACATTTTTAAATGGTTGAAAAAAATCAAAAGGAGAATCTTGTGACAGATGAAAAATTACATGAAATTCAAATTTCAGTGCCCCTCAGTAGTTCCGTTGGCACACAGCCACGCTCACGCACTTGTGTGTTGCCTGCGGCTGGTTTCGTACTCCAGTGGTAGAGGTATATGACCTGCAGAGCCTGAAATATTTACTATCTGTCCCTTACAGGAGGAATTTGCTCCCTTATAGGAGAAATTCACATATTGCTAATTTGATACCAAACAGCTCCCCTGGGCTGAGGGTGGTCAGGCTGCTTCCAGAGGCTGACCTAGGCATCCTTGGGGACCTGGACATCAGGGGGATTGAACATCATGTTAATGTAAAGTTAACATTTGAAATAACTACCTGGGATGAGCCTACCCTGCACAACTCTCCCCTCCCTCCTCTCCCCTCCAAGGTTTTGTTTCCTTTTAAACCTCTTAATCACTGTAACTCATCTTGGGATTTAGAGGGCTCAGTGGTTATTGGCTGGCCTTATTTTTCCCTCCCATTGTTCTCGGCAGCTTTGAAGCCGGTGCCCCCCCCCCTTCAGGTACAGGCAGGTGTTTAAATACCATTGTTTTCCTGCGGGCTCTCTAGCTCGGCAGGATTTAAACGCTCAAAGGTGGATTTTGGTTACAAAGTGAGAGAGTCATTAGAATGTGGCAGGACCCAGTGGAGGTGAGAGCACCTGGCCTGGGTGCTGGGGAGGCACTGGGGGGAGGGCAAGTGGGGGCAGCCAAGGCTTCTGGCCCCACAGTAGCACCAGAGCC